AACAAACACCTGAAAAGAATCGTTAGGTATTAGAGGGATATATATATATATATACATATATTTTCCAATTATGAAACGCATTTTCATGTAATATGTTATATCATAGGAAATAACCGTGGTTCGATGATACTTGAAAGTGATAAAAACTGTTACCAAGAATTGAAAGGAAATTATAGTATTGTGTTAATTAGCTAAAACATTTTTTTACAAATCTTAATGGAGGGAAAATTGGATGGAATGATCTGACTCCAGGTGTTATTAGCCTTTTCCACCCAATTGTCATCTGGTTGGTCAATTTACGATGTCTTCACAGTTGGATAACTTCTGACGAGACGTTAAATCCAAAAAAAAAAAGAAAAGAAACAATACACAGTACGAATTAGATGTAATACTAACCAATGGCAACAGAACATAAAAGCATCATTCCACTTAATCCATTAACAAGACCGGTACGGCTTTTCATTTTGCTAAGGTGATCAAGCCAAATTCCCGTTGTTATCACTGATAATAAATTTCCCACAGCTGATATAATGCATAATACAAGCCACATGATGAGCATCATTTTCCACCGGTACCTAGAATCCATCAGAAATTTTAGCTTCGATTTTCAAATTCAATTTTATATTTCGTATACAGATGTGTGGATATTTCTGATAATCCTGTTGCATAGTCTCCAAAAGAGTGAAAAGGCATAGAACAAAATCCTGGATCTATTCAACAGAATGATTGGCTAAATCTCTTACCTATGTACAACTCCAAGTCCTATGCAACCGGTGGTGGCACCAACAACTGCAGCCACAACATTCATATGGCATGTTCCTTGATAAGCTGATTCTTGAGCAAAACCCGGGCACGTAAAACCATGGATCAAAAATCCCAATGATACGGCTATTTCAACGCGACATAAATTAATCATAATTGACAAATAACTGAAATTAAAATTACAGGTTTTTTAATTTCATAAAACATTTTGGAGATGGTTTTTCTTCTCTACTATTACTGGTGACAATCATTTGATACGAGTTATATACTTCGGTTCGAAACAAATCCGTTTTCCACACGATAGATAATTTTAACCATACCTTCATTTAATTCAAACTTTTAAACATATAAATTAGCAAATCTGATACTTAACAGTACATTTTATCAAGATAAAATGTTTGAAATAAATTTTTTTTGTCTGAAAGAATAAAGTTTACATAATGAGAACTTTTGGCAAGCACAATACTTTAACAATAACCATTGATAACGCTTTATTGAAGGACTTTTGTTGAGTTTACTGGTAATGATCATGATCAATTTCATGAATTCATGTAGGATCAAACCAGTAAAGAAATGGCGATAATGGGATTAAAGAAGATTAGGAAGGAATTGAAGTAAACGGACAAGTAATTTAAAAAATATTCCCCTATTTTTAACTTTTACTTTCAATTCTATTCATACTTTTTTGTTAAATTAAAAAAAAAAGCTCCGTTTCAATTTATCCAAAGAAATGTAAAATATGGAAACTTGCTCGGTATGCTGAAATCCAGATTTCTGCATTACTGTATATGCTTTGAAGCGTCTCATTCGTGATTTCCCTTCCTCTAATAAGACATCGTCATCAGTTTCAGAGCTCTGAAAATATTTCAACATATGAAACAAATAAAGCAATGCAATAGTTTTTTAATAAAGTAATGCAAAAAAATAAAATAATGTAATAATTTTCCATTTAAGTCAGAAAAAAGTTTTAGATTGAAATTTCTCACAATTAGTGCAAAAGAAAAAAAAAGCTGCGTCGCTGTGTCACCTTGGGAAACGGAAAATTGATAAATTATTTCGAATTCAATTCAATGAATTGCAGTTCCTGTAGCAGTGATGTTAATAAGCATGACAACAATTTTAAATTCCCATTAATTTGAGAGCCATATGAAATTGATCAGTAAAAAGAAAATCGATACTTTAGTTGAAAATTCAGAAATTAAATTCGATATTAAATTAAACCAAAGGATTTAAATAGATGAAATTTCACTAAACCATTGAAATATGTATATTCAAAGTGAAAGAAATGATAAAAAGAGAAAAGGAAGAAAAAAAAGGAAGAACGAAGAGGGAAACAAAGAGAGAGAGAGAGAGGAGGGGAGAGGGAGAGACAGAGAGGAGGGAAGGGAAAAGG